ACTGTCCCTCCTCTGGATATGTCCAAACCATCTCAGTCTGGCCTCTAAAGCCCCATCTCCACTGTCAAGTCCAATTCTCTTCGGTTCATGTTTGTTCGGTTCTGCTCAAATCTGTGTGTGTCTCCATGGCAGTGCGTCCCTCACTCTGTGAGTGTGATTGTGGGAGGATCATCAACACATTGATGTAAAATAGCCATTGTGGTTTTATCATCCAGTCGTCAGATTAGTATATATATTTTTTTGTTGTTGCGGTACCGTTTATAAATGCGTGTGTAACTGTGGGCGGACAATTGATCGGAAATATCTGTTCATTTCAGACTCTATCCAGCTCAACCTGTATGTTAGTTTCCTTCTTTCATCTCCATCCTGGAAGAATTGGCAGGAGGAGATCTGTCTCGGCTCAGCCAAGCCTTATCACCCCCAAGTAGAAAGTCAACACCTTCAGCTCTGCCACTTCCAGCTCTGTCTCCTGTTTTCTTGTCAATGCCACAGTCTTCAAATCATACCTTATAGCTAGTCTCACTCCTCTTTGGTGAACTTTTCCTTTGACCTCTGCCGCCATTCTTTTGTCACAAAGCCCTGCTGAAACCTCCTTCCGTCCACTTCATCCTGCCTGGACTTTCTCCTTCACTTCTTTACCCCCTTTTTCCTTAACAAAATACTTGAAGACCTGCACCTTTGGGATCTCTGGTTTTTGYAGCCTCACTGTCCCACCAGCCTCCTCCTCATTCACACATGTACTCTGTCTTTATGTAGCTGACTTTCATTCTTCTTCTTTCAAGTGCAAACCTTCACCTCTCCAAGTTCTCTTCCACTTCCCTATTCTCACCACAGATCACAAAATCATCTGCAAACGTAGCACCCAGGGATTCCTGCCTGACCTCATCTGTTTGTCTGTCCATCACTGGAGCAAAAGAGAAGAGGCTCAGATTAGATCTTYGATGCAGTCCCACCTCCATCATGAAACTATTGCTCACTCGTACAGAACATCTCATCAATGTCCTCACACATGTCCTGTACCACTCTAACATACAACTCTGCCACTCCAGATTTCCTTATACAACTCCACATCTCCTCCCTAGGTCCCCTGTTATTTTCTTTTTCTAAATCCACAACGACACAATGATGTTTTGTCTGACCCTCTCTGTACTTCTTCATCAGCGTCCTCAAAGCAATGATGCTATGGTGCTATTTTYTGGCACCCATAGCCTTTACTTGCTCCTTTCTGAACTCCTCACAATATTCTCCCTTCCTTAACGTTAACCRTTTGGTCTTTTACTCTCACTGTACTCTTTGTTTTTTCTTCAACAGTCGTCCTACATGCCACCATCCAATGCTGTCTGGATACGCTTCCCTTTAACACAACCKTACTTAGCTTCTTGGCAAATTAAACACATTAATCTACTGCTGGTCAGAGGGAGAATAAATACAGATTGTTATTCCTATTTCTTTTTTAAGCTGCTATGTACCATTTTTTCTCTGGAAAATTTGGACCATGCCCATATTTCCCAATCTAAGAGCAATGGCTGTTCTCACTACAGTAATGAGCTCCTTGTGACTCAATGACAACTTACTGAATCATTGTTGTTAGTTCTTTGACACTAGCCAAAGCAGAGGTACACAATAACTGCTTATTTAGACCAGGAAACTCCAGACTGGATCAAGGTCCATGGCCAGGATTCTAGATTATTTTTGTGTCATCCTATGGCATTTGCATTTACATACAAAGACACTAAAGGCTAAATTTGTTTCAGGKTATGTTTTCAATCATTTTGTTATTTATTTCAAAATCAATTTGTCTCTCCCCACCCCTTCTCCTATTGGCACWGTTGAAAAAGTCCTGACAAGATGTATCATTTCCTGACATGGTGACAGGAATGTGAATGACAGAAAGACCTTGCAACCGTGAGACTGGCCAGAGGGTGTCATGAGGGACTCGGTTCCCTCCTTAGAGTCCATTAGGGAGGAGAGATGCAAAAGAAAAAGCCCTTGGTGTGTAGATCTCTCAGCCTGCCCACAAGCTGTTTAACCTATGGCCTTTTGGAAGACACCCTGTTCAAACGTATAAAGAGCTAAAATAWACAACATCTGTCTTCTGGTGAAAAAGCTGTTGATTCTCCAGTAGCATTCTGAACACAGCTCTAGCCAAGACAAACATTGCTGTATTTTATAATATTTATATACATAAAAAGACAAATGCATTTCCATATCTTTATTTTAAAATTTTAAGCTGTTGATTCTCCAGTAGCATTCTGAACACAGCTCTAGCCAAGACAAACATTGCTGTCTTTTATAATATTTATATACATAAAAAGACAAATGCATTTCCATATMTTTATTTTAAAATTTTAAATTTTGTTTGTAACAATCTTTGTTCCACCGGTGGGCAAAAATTGTGCAGGGCAGTTTTTCCTGAAACCCAGGGTGTCAGACGAATTCCTTTGGTTCTTACCTTTAGCTTGACAACCTTACAAAAAAAAAGGCTTTTAAGGAATTTCAGGGGCAACTGTTAAGGGGTTAACAATTTACAGTGTACCCATTTTAACTTGGAGGTAATTAACTTAAATTATGTTAGATTCTTGTTTGTCTAAATGGAAACAAGAAATCAATTTAAACCAAACCAAACCTGTAAAAAWACATCTTTCAGCCAGAGTATGATGTGAGGCCAAGGTGCAGTTCATTCAAATCAACCTGTTATAGTGAGATTTGTATTAAAGTTAACCTCAGCTTTTTTTATATTTACAGAGAAAACTGTGCTTAGAATGAACTTTAAAAGTAAGCCCTAAAGCTCATGATAATTCATATTTTCAGATGACCATGAGAAGAAAAGTTTGTTATCAGTATTGAGATGGACACAAAACCAACRTCAGTAACGAACGGTTTTAAAAGAAGATTGTGTTTGAGTCTTTTTTTCCTAACGTGCTTTTCATATATCAAGGCTAGAGTCATTTTAAGAATCAATTTAATTTTATTGAGTACGATCAGTGCCTTCCAAGTTACAAGAACCATTTTCACAAAAACTCTCTGTGTTCATGTTCATGTTTTTTTGGTTACTTTTGGTAGATCTTTGTGTTTATTGTTGGGTTCATTCCTTTTTTGGTGGTTATGTTTTACTTTCTGTTTTGTGATTCTTGTGTTTAGTTCTCCTATAAGTGTTTCTATTTTATCTATCCGTTTAATCTATCAGTTTTCATTCCCTTCTCAATGGAGCATTACATGTATTGTTAGCC